CAGAAGACGATGAAGAGAAAGAGAAAGGGGTCATAAGATTACGTAACAGCTGGCTTTGTGTTATGCAAGTAGAAGAATAAAAGAAAGCGAGGGCGGGCTGCCTGACAATGTGTCAGCATTTTGTCTGGCTATAAAAAGAAAATATTTTAACAAGCAGCCTCAAATTCAACCTTTTGGAAAGACATATTTGGGGCGGCTGTGGCTCAGTTGGTAGAGTCGGTCGTCCCCTAACGGGAAGGTCGGGGGTTTGATCCCCAGCTCCTGCAGCTACATGTCCGATGTGTTCTTGTGCAAGACACTAAACCCCAAGTTTCGTCTGCAGCACATGAATGTATATGAATTAGTGTGACCTGCGGTTTGAAAGCGCTTTGAGTAGTAGAAGTCTTCCTTAGCTAATCAGTGGCGGTCATAATTGGTGAATCAGCTGTTGGAAGTTTACGCTCTCGCAGACTTGGTACTCCCACAAGTATCTAAAAGAAAACCACAACCATCGACTGAAAGCTGTGTTGAAATATAAATTTGTAAAATTTGCTGAGTGCGCCGGATAGCCTAGTGGTTATGTTGAGCACCCAGTATATACAGAAGCTATAGTTCTCGTCGCAGCGGTCGTGGGTTTGAATCCGACTTCGTCCCCTTGCTGCATGACATCTCCTATTCTCTCCTCCAATGTTTCCTGTTGCTCTTCAGCTGTCCGATCTAATAAAGGCAAACTTATATCTTAAAAAATATATAATTTTCTCAGTAGTTGTCAATTAGAGAATTGGTGAGACTGTTTTTAAGGATCTGTGTTAAAATGTCATTTTGGGTCAAGTCTCTAACCTGAGGACACTTCAGCATGCAAACCTGAGGATCTGGGAATTGAACCGTTGATCCGCCAATTATTGGATAAACCAGCTCTAACTCCTGAGACACAACCGCCTCTTTTTGAGCCGACAAATGTAAGAAATATAGCAGCAGCTCCCTGCGACGCTGCGAGAGAAATGGTCAATTAAATAAAGGTTTAAGGATGAGGAAGATTTGTAGAGTCAACTAAACAAAACAGATCGTCATTCTCAGATGTACAAAGGTCTGCAGGAGGATTACAGAGCAAATGCGTGGAAGAGGTGAGCTGCACTGGTCATTTATGGGTATCCATGCAGAAAAACAAACCCAGGTCCTAAATGTTCGACCTTGTGTGTGTTTGAATTTGGGGTATTTGAATGCAAACATCTGTTGTAAGGCTCTGAGAGAGTTTCTTGACTCAGACATGAAGGGCTTTAAATGTTTACTGTTTCAGAGGCAGCGAGCAGAAGAGCTGTTTATGAGATGTAAGATGATGCCTATAACTGTGAGTGAGTGCTTCTGTGTGTGTGTGTGTGTTGGAAGTAGGTTACCTATCAGAGTGAAATATGTGCTCTTGTGCATGCAGATGAAGATGTGTGTGAGGTATAAATGAAGGTGTGTGGGTTGTTGCATAGACTGCAGCAGTGTGTGAGTACCTCCCAGTCAGAACAGAGCAGAGCAGAGTCGGGTTTGCTGACAGCAGCACCTCTGATGAATCACAACTAACCTCCAACTCACCTTACACACACATTCACTCACTCACTCTCCTGCCACCTGAATAACCGCTCAATATAATGTAAAGACGCCCTCGATTTGTCCTCATTACCTCCTTCACTGTGGACACACAGATTCTCTATTCTTATTTCACACTGTTTACTCAACTGAAGCAGACAAAACCTCGCTCAGTCTTGAGATGTTTTTGTTGTTAGCCAGCTGAGATGAGGCCTCGTCGTGTAAAACGTCTGCTGTCACGGTAACCACTGAAAAGAATTACGGCGGTACAAACAAGTTAACCGCGGAGAACGGAGGCCACCGTCAAAAACACCTCATGTTCAGACACAAAGGCAACTTCGCCCCTTTGGGAACATTTTTGAATTTGTTTTTATTCTCTGCAAAGTTTTAGGGGCAAAATTTGGGCCAAGTCTTTCAAAATGAAAAACGTCAGGGAGTGTGTTTTTGTCGTAAAAATGGATTTATGTTTTTATTTGTGATAGTTTGGGATTATATGTGGCACTCTTGTGGTGTTTAAATTAGGGATGTAATGATTCACTCACGATTAATTTCACAAAATGAGACTGAAGACAAATTACGAGATGACTCTTTGGCTCTTGCACTTTTTTGGCCAACTGGGTTCCAAACCCGCTTGTCAGTGTGGTTTTTCTTCTCTCAACAAGAGGAGGTGATTAGAGCTTCTTGTTGTAGTGTCGGGTTAAATGCTGTTTGTGTAGTCCCCCGTCTTGTAATATTTGCACACAGTTTTTGTCTCGTCTGTTATCTTCTCACCTCTTTCATTTTCTGTCTCAGATATGGATCGACAGATAGTCTAACATGAGGTGTATATAAAAACATCTCTGTGTATGAAAGTGCATCAAAGACATACACTGACCATATGAAGACTTTTGGTGCTCTCTGGCACCCACCAAAGGTCTCTGAGTGTAACTGTACCGTTGTATGACTCACCACACAGTTGACACCTTCCTACTTAACGCACTAATCCGCCAGCAGAGATTTCTCCTGCCGTGGTCACGCTCAGCGATTTGATGAGCAGACTGCAGATTAGCCTGATAGGATCTGATTGAATCTGGGAACTTCTGCTCACCTTAGATGACTTTCAGGAATCGGTTTGGGGAAGCACTTATCGAACCAAAATAGTAACATGAAGAGTTAGTGAAGTTCGAGGTAAACAGATGATAAAGGGGGCTGCTGAATCAAGAAAACCGTTTGTTTACTTCTGAGACTTTATCAAGGACATCCTGTCTGAGGCCCCCCCCCCCCCCCCCCCCCGGTCACTTTCAAAGGTTTTACAGTATCACTGCTAAGAAGGCGTTAGCTAAAGGAGCGACTCCCTAAGATGTTATCAAGGTCTTTATCTCCGTCTTTGGCTTCTGCTGCAGCCGTGGTTGTAGGACAGGAGATGATCTCATCTGACCTACTTGGAGCCAAAGCTTTGGTTGCCAAGTAGTACTCCTTTGACACCACATGACTACAACTTCTCTGACTTTGTGGCTTATTTTAAGTCGTTTCTGTCTGATATGGGAGTCTGAATATTTGCATCTCTCCAGATTTTGAGTAAACTCTGGATCTTTGCATCACCGCCATCGTTTCAAATGATTATACAGCATGTCCACATTGCCCGCTCTTGAGCAACCGTACCCTGCCGAAGCCCACCCCTTAGAACCGTGCCAGGGCCAGGGAAGTGCACGGTTCAGAGCAGTCCCACTAGTCAAACAAACTGGAAACAAACTTTGCCCTTCTGAAAAAAATAAAGTCATCTGAAGCTGAACGAGGCATCCTTTACCCACGTTTTTGGAGCCAATTAAGAACGTGTTTGACCGTTGTTCCAAACTCGATTTCAAACTGATTCCAGCACGTCAGGGGGGGGACAACTGGGTCTTTTCAGTGCCCTTCATGGTGTCCTCGTTTTGGGAGAAAATGCCCAGCAGGACCCTTTAATGTTTGGTCCTCTAGGGCTCCACTGACACTGATAGAAATGTTATCTCTGCCGCTTTGGGAGCTGGAGGGCGGCAGCAACAGCCTGAAGGTGCAACGGTGATTTCAGTTCATGCCTTCAGGGGTAGCATGGTGTAAGGTCAGATATTATCTTTGCTTCTTAAGACACTTGGCGGTTATGTAACCTCCTGGAGGAGCCTATCTGGGATCTATTGTTAGTGACGCAGCCACCCAGCAAGGCCCCTGAGGGTTCAACTCTGCAGGAGAGCCCGCTGTCAGATGTTATCAGAGCTTCGACGGGACAGTGGCCTCAGAGGGAGCCTGCAGGGTGCAGAGCTGTTTAACAGGAGGAAGAAGGAGGGTGTTTAAGAATCAAGGGTAAAAGGAGGAGAGGAGATGAGAGAGATGGAGAGAGAGAGAAATTAACTTTTATTGAATAAAGTTTGCACAAAGCAAGAGGGCAAAGATGGAGTGAGAATTGCAGAAAAAGTTTGAAAATGTGAGGATAGTTCGAGAACAGCGGGCAGAAAACGATGATGGAGGAGGGAGAAAAAAAGATGGAGGGTGGTATCATGTCCTCTCTGCCCATTAATGATTCAGTCTGTATCGATCCAACTGAAGACTCTTTGCTGCTGCAGGTGTGTGTGTGTGTGTGTGTGTGTGTGTGTGTGTCATCCACACAAACAGCTTGCATAACGTCAGCTGCTGTTTGTCTAATGAGATGAGTTTGACCGCTTAAGTCACACACACACACACACACACACACACACACACTTGATCCGCCTCTGTGAGATGAACTTGGGCATAATGAGAGCGACATTGTTGTGTGTGTGTGTGTGTGTGTGTGTAGGGTTGTTATATAAATCCGGAGTCCTGGTATGTCTGACAGGGTGTGTGTGTGTGTGTGTATGTGTGTGAGACCGGCAGCGGGCTGCTGAATCAACGGACACATCTCAGCCCCCTCCCTGTTTCATGCATTACACACACACACACACGCATACTTCCTCGCCTTTGGAGGAACATCGGAGAACAAATATGACCTTATGCACACACACACACACACACACACACACACACACACACACACACACACACACACACACACACACACACACACACACACACACACACACACACACGTCCTTCTATCCGATCAGCAGCATTCAGCAGAGCTCTGTAGCCTAAATAACAATGTGCCCACCCAGAGCGGCGCCAGCCTCTGAATGTTTGTGTGATTGTGTGTCTGTGGAGCGTTTCTTCAGATTGGCAGACGGGACACACACTCATTATTCTAACTTAAACACTTTTTTTTTTATGAAATTATTTTACACTTTACATCCATCTTTATCTTCCTGCACACACAGAGGCATTCTTAACTCAAATGTTCTTCTTCTTCTTTCCTGGTGTGACCCTTACCGCCCGATGCAAACATCCTCCAAGGTCATTTTATGTCAGTGAGGGAGTCGAGGAGTACGTGATGTTCTAACCATCTCTATCTCTCCTTACAGCTCCCACCTCTCCCCTATATCCATCTTGCCTGCTGACTCTGCTGAGTAAGTTCACACACACACACACACACACACACACACACACACACACACACACTCTCCACTCACAGCAACATAAACAGCCACTTCTTTATGTACACACACACTCCAGCTACACTTCCTGTCATCTGGCAATTCATTTAACGTGCAGCTCTTACCACTCGTAAGGTAAGCATAAAACTGCAAACAAGAGGCGAGAGATGGACCACCAGGTCAGCTGAGGTAAAGCTACACACGTGCGAGATGCAGATAATGTGACAGGACTCGAGAATGAAAAGGTGCAGGAGGGTTGTGAGAAAGGTACAAAGGTGAAAATTGAGTGTTGCTTATGAAACCACACTAAAGCATTTCTCATGGCATGTTGCCCCAAGGACGTACGCTCAGCCATCACCTGACTGTCAGGCCACTCTGCCTCTTCACTGCATGACAGGAAAACATCATAAAATAGATTTCCACAGTGCTTTGCATACAAGGGAGGTTACTGACCTGAACGCTGCAGGGCAAGAACACAAAACTGAAACTGATTTGTGTGATGCACTGAAAAACTAAAGACAGAAAATGGCTTCCAATTGGTTTCTGTGTTGCATTTGTTGATGTTTACGCACAGGTTAGAGGCTTCCTGTAACATCGGCCAGAAGGTAGGAGATCAAACTCATAAATAGAGGATGGTCAGGACAGTTAAAGATCCCATATTCTCCTCAGGTTCACCTTTCATGTTGACAGTCTGTGACACCTTTAGAGAAGCTTTGCATGATTTGAAGCTAAAAAAAAAAATCCTTATTTATCAGATACATGCGTCAAAAAAAAAGCCTGATTTCAGCCTCTGTCTGAAATGGTTTGTCTCAGCTGTTGTCTTTGCCTGCCTACCTATGTGTCAGCTCTCTGAAAGGCTTCCAGTGGGCAGAATGCTGCAGGGCTGCCAGGGGGAGTGCTGGGAGAGGAGAGTCTATGTAAGCGGTTTCAGCAGCTCACGTCGAGGCTTGAAGCATTCTCATGAAATTCTCAGTTTCATATCGGGAAACAGTGGCGCAGTTTTCAGACCAAGCCGTTTAGCGCCCTCTGCAGACTCATCCTGGGATTACTCCCAAGCCTCTGCAAGGATTAGTTGAGCCTCACTGAATACACTCGTACTGTAGATATCCTGCAGCTGAGCTCGCTGCACACCGATCACTATGACTCAACGTCCAACAGTCTGAGTAACACCGGGCTGTGACCTACAACAATCAATAATCATACCTTTATTTTAAATAACACACATCTTGACACAAGAATGAAGTCTCAGTAAAGCCTCCTGATCGGCCTTTGCAGAGGTCACAGCGTCCGTGCTGATGTTACCTTTTTTAGGCTTTGACGTCCGCTCGCCTTCTCTCCCTCTCTCCTCCCTCACTTCAGGTCTAAGCATTATTAATCCTCTCAGGGCCAGACCAGTTTAGTGACTTTATAAGGAGTTGTTAAAAAGCCCAGAATGGAAAGAAAAAACAAAACGTTTCAGTGATCATTGATTCAATATTATTCTCACTAAATCTGACTCTGTATATATCTCATCGTTCTGAACATTCTTCTAATAGATGTGTAGGTAAACAGACGAGTTAATCATCCAGCCAATCGTTTGTCTCATAATGGATTGGTCGATGAATTTGTCTTAATTTAAAAAGGATTGATGACAGGTTAGTGTAAGGAGGAAGCTTTGCAATATTAATGTGCAAAAACCTCTCTGAACATAAATGTCGATATCAAACTGATGAACAATTCATGAAGCTGAAAAAGTGACAGGAATCATTTTGTGAGACGAACAGTCTGCAGACTTTTCTCCTTTCCTCTCTTTTTTTGGTCAATGGACTTTAGCTTGTATTTTGCTTTTCTAGTCTTCTGATTACTCAAAGTGCTTTTACACCACAGGTCACACCTACACATTCACACACTGATGGTAGAGGCTGCTGAGTAAAGAGTCCATCAGAAGAAACTAATCCATTCATACTCAGGGTTAAGTGTCTTGTCCGAGGACTCAACGGACATGTAGCTGCAGGAGCTGGGGATCGACCCCGCGACCTTCCGGTTGAGACACGACCGACTCTACCAACTGAGCCACACCCAGAATTAGCAGAATTTTTACACAACATTTTTGAACATTAGCAGAGCCTAAATATGCTACTTAAGTCTACAAATGACCTCAAAGACAATCATGATGTGCATTGGGTTTGTCTCAAACTAAATACTTAAGTGAAGCTGTCAGAAAAACTTGATAGGTCATAACTTTCCATCGCTTATTTGAGAGAAACACCTCTATGAAATCAGACATTGTGCATCATCACACATCATACAACAAAAAAATAAAAAAAAGATGTCATAATAAATGATGACCCACTATGTTTCCACAGGATTATTCAGCGCACCATCAGAGCTGCAGTGGAGCATCACTTCTTTGAGCTGAAAACATCCATCGACCAAGACCTCAGCAACT